ACTTGCATATACGTATGTATATGTAGCGGTAAGCGTTTTTTTATGGTGTTACGGTAATCCACTTGTGAAGTCATGTTAAGAAATCAGCTGCTCAAATCTTTGATGTGATACTTATGCCTTTGTAGATAACTGTTAGTCTTAGAGGGCTTACGAAACTAATTAAAATTCAGCCAAGCTACAGAGTTAGTAGCAGCATGATACTTACAATTACTTTACAATAAAAAAGGAAAGAAAATGGTAAGGCATATAAACAAAAAAAAACGTTGCAGAAAGCAAAGCTCTGAAACAAGTAACTGTGTGGATGTGCAACAGCCGGCATCAAGTATTTGAAACGAACAAAAAATTACATTATCTGCATTACAAAAAACAACAAATAAGCCACAATAAGTAGTGAACATAAAATCGCAGAAACAAAGTACCTGCAATGGCAAAATCAACTACAGCAGTGTTTGTCGGTGCTTCGTCTCATAAGGAAACTTGAAATGCGGAAATTTTCGGCTGTCAAATTAATCCAGTGAAGCCGGCGCGCCACCAACGCAGCTAAGCGAGCTTCAGAGACTTTTCCGCTGCGTTTGTGCGGATGTTTGTTTTATTCATTTGTATTGTTATTTTCTGCAAAGCTTGCAACAGCTGCTACTACAAATGATTTTAATTGTTTATTTCGGGTTTACAATAACTTTTTTATTTGATAGAAAAATGTATATACATACATTAGGAAGCATCACTCTCCATACAAAAAAAAAAATCGGAACAGTTTTCCATTTTAAGATTGCCGCCAAAATATTTCGGAAAATATTTGGAAATGACTTTATTATTTCTATTTTCTTTTTAACTTTTATAAGATATTTTCAAAACCGTCTAGTTCACGTAAACGTTAATTTTTTTCGAAACGTTAATTTTTTTGACGGAAGTTTTAAATATGATATATTTTATAATTGTATATAGTTGATACAGTTAAATAATTTAGTAGTGTCTTTTAGTAGACATCGAATAGGTAACAGCAGCGCGAGATAAAAAATTTAATTAAAATGTTTACTGAATGTTCTAAAAATATAATTCGATCCCAATACACTTGATATGTTTCGTCATCATCGTCATAAGTATATCCTAATCCTAAGTTCGGAGTGAACTTTATCTTCTTCAATAATTCGTTTGCGTGGAAGTCCAACTTCTGTGGCCTAGAAACCAGAGACCGATGTTATTGGACTGAAAGTTATCGGTCAGAACAGTAAACATTCCAAAATACCAGAGATAGGCCAAATTGCTTTTAGAAAATATTATTTTCATTCTCAAACTATTTCATAGTTTTCGGGAATCGTTCCGTTAAACTAAGAAGATGTGTGAAGTTAAATAATGGCATTTAAGAAAAGCGGATGGAATGCAGGCTCAGCAGATTTAAAAAATTCAACAAAGCAACAAATCGATAAACGACACCGTGCGATAAAAGCTTCTTCTAACTACGTCGCGATATCGAAATTTGGGGCACCTGAAAAATTTATGCGACTATGAGGGATGACGGCGAGCAAAGGTTGGTATAGCGTTGAACGAAGACAAATGCCTTCCAGCACCACTAAAAGAGCCTTTGCGTATTGGAACTCACATCACAGTTGACAATAACCATTTCGAGGAAGTGAGTGATTTTTTGTACATACAGTTCATGATCCATGTCATCAGCAATGTCAGCCTGGAAATCTAGCAAGGATAACGCTTTACAACAAGTACTGCTTTTGGCCCGGTAGGCGATTGAAAAGCAGCACCATCTCTCGACCAACAAAACACACAGAAACATGGAGAATGCCGAGCAATAATACATTTTGGAAGCTTTAAATATAACAATCCCCCCCAAAATCCATGGAAAATAAAATGAAATATGAAGCTCACCGATGGTAATGGAAACAGTGAAAGGCATTGGTATCCAACTCTTGAGATGGCTCGGACTTGTCGTAGGCATAGATCATGTTGCCCCGGTGAAAATATACTTCGAAAAAGAAAAAGAAAAAGAAAAAGAAAAAGAAAAAGAAAAAGAAAA